CATTCAGGCCGAAATATTTCTCCAAAATTGCATACAACATGCACGTATGCATATTTTTATATGTATATCTGATTAGGCTAACAAAATTCGATGTGACAGAAATGCTAGATATCTGGTAGTAATATACTGATATTTTATATAAAGTAATTAATAGCCCGGGACTGCCGGGGTTGCCTAGACTGCAAGCCATAAAACCTAAGCTTGATGCAAAGTGCGCGAGAGAAACTTTGATTTGCGTCCATACAGGAACGAACTTCATTTACCTGAAATTCGTAACTTTCACATGAATTTCTAGGCAAATGAAATTGCTAGATTAAACATATTCATTCAAAAGCTGTATTATTAATTTATCTTCCTCTTGTCTGAGCGCTCAAGTCGAACAGTCTTCATCAAATGAATGATGCTTTACTTCCTAGCCATATTTTACCCATTCAACGGACAATACTTCCAATAGCTTCCTTTATTTTATGCTTTAAGACACTCTTTTCGCTACCTGCTAAACTTTTCATTTTTAGCCAATCAACCTGCTTTTCTCACTTTGCCCTCTGCCGACTCGCTCGTAAACCTTGATAAGACAAGACTTGAAGACTATACTACATTCGGATCAATTGGTTAATGGGTCTTCTTACTCCAATAAGCCTGCGTGATTGGAATTAAATGGCCATAAGAAGTTTCTTTTGCTCTGGATGTGTCTGCTTCATAACAAATGAAAGCTATTACGAATACATTTGTGTTGAAGGACGTTTCGGCTAGAAATTTTATTTAGTTGGAATGGGTCCACAAATCCGTTTTCTGAATTCCCTCATACAAATGTAGGGCAGCGCTGATAGTCCGATCCCACGGGGTTCCTCGAAATAAACTCCCGTTCTTTACATACTGTACCACTATATTCTAACTTACGCTTCCAATAGTATTCGAAGAAGACAGCAAATTTTTGGAGTCTTGACCGCAAAATTTTATTGTTTTCTTCTATCCTAATTTCCATATTACTTCTACAAGTACTTTTAAACACTTGAAATCTGAAACTTTATTTTACCTACCTTTTTTCTTTATCCCTCAAGCCTGAGTCGATTATCTCTTCAGCCAAGACCATGCCGACCTCTGACCAACAAATCACTGAAACGCGTATCACTGAAGAAGACTTGTTGGATCAGGAGATACTTCATCGACAGTCTTGTCTCCAAAATTCTGACTCTGAGATTGCACCTTTGGCAACGAAAAAGTCTAATGGATCAGAAGCACCTTATTACCAAATCCAGACGACCAGACGTATCTGGATGTTGGTACTGGCCATTACGCTGCATAATATCCCTGAGGGTATGGCCGTCGGCGTTGCGTTTGCCTCCTCTTCCGGTAGCAGTGCACATCCAGCTTCAGCTTCCCAGTTTGTTACGGCCAGGTAAGAAGTTGATTTCTGTCTACCTATTTCTTGTTTTATTGCGCTTCGCGAGCATACTTGAGCGCATGTTTGCTAGTTTCCTTGATGAGCCTTTATGTGATACTCAACACTAGGTTGGAAGCCTTTGCTTTTGTTTCTTAGGTAGCAATTACCTGACACAGCAGTAGGTCTGTGACCAGAAAGAGAATACTTACTGCCTACATTAGATAAGTACTCTTGCCAGTGCGATTAGCCATCTTGAATGTGTAACAGTTGTTGACTCAAGTACGGCAGGCAGCTTTCCGAGACGGGATGCTGAGTTTTGCTTTTGCGCTTACCGGAAACTGTGGGCTGTTTCGAGGATCACCTGTTGGCCCTGTATGCTGGCCACAACCTTTCATCTTCTATCTGCACTTCTTTTTACATCGACTGTTTGGGTTGTGCTTACTTGCTTCGCGTCCGAGACCCTGATGGGAATTGGAGATTGGTCCGAAAGCGATTGAACAGCACTTGCTAGAGAAAAGGGGGCGAAATTGTGGTCACGATACAGAAGATTTTACTGCCAGTCAAACAAAGGCCGATTATCATGTATTGGCGTATTTCACCTTCTAAAGAAAAATAAATATGAGTCGTGAGTACATTATGGGAATGTGAGCATATGACTATAAGCTTTAAACAACCGATTCAGTGTGTTATCATGCTGTAATGGACAACAAATTTAAAATATTCGCAATAAATTAGTTTCAATATTCTCAGTAGATCTTAAACAAAAGGGGAAGTCACTCAAACACCCACGTCTTCTGCCAGTAGTAGTCACAATAGGCACCTTTTTTACGATATGGCAGCTAGGATTTAGTGGAACTTATTACTAAAAAAAATGAAAGTAAGAGTAAACTTTGATAGATGATTTAAAAACTTTTATTTAAATATTCGTAGCTAAATGTAATGGCAATTTCAAACTATTTAATAATCGCTTAGAGTTATTAACCAATTTTTATAATTATATTTCTTTATTTGAAAAAATTAGAAATTTATATGATTGGAAATAAGCTAACTTTCATCCACTCTTCTATAGATAAATTAGTTGATTAACCTGTGGCAAGAATATTCGTACGCTTATATTGAAAATATGGCCTGTTAATGAGGATATTCAGGATAATTCATTGCCCATTAAAATATAGTGCATCTGATTCGGCAAAAAATCACAGAAACAGGTATTTTTCTTGGTAAAAACCTACGGGTCAACGTCCTAGTCCTATATTGTTTCAAGATGTCCTAGATAACTACATGTTTATACTAATATCTCTGCTATATGCTAGTAACAAATGCTTATTCAGAAAAAAGGA